AATATTATTGTTGATAGCTATCAATTAACAAATGCTCACCAAAATTAGTGGAGTAATTCTATTTTGATGCATTTTGTCCACCCTAATATTTGTTTTTAACTAATAACTGGTGTGCAAAACTATAGGTTTAAACATATCAAAGTACTACTACTTGGCAACGTAACAAATTATGCCTTTGTCTACAAGCTACCTATTTGTTTTTTACCTTTTTAAAATCTGCTACATGACCCTGATAATAGCCCTGACATAAGTGGAACTATCAACACAAAAATAATTTACAAGGAAACAATTGGTTAGTTTGAAAATCAGATGGTCAATAAGCTAGTATGATTTTTCTCTCCTGTCCTTCTGCCTACATCTATAGAAGACTCAGAACCTTAAAATGACAAAAGTACTGAGTACTTTTGTAAAAATTATACATACCTTACAGAAGCAGTTTTTTGAGACTGTCATTCTTCCTGATTCTATTTTATCTCTATTCCCTCCTTCAGTTTACCTTCTTGCTTTATTAATAAGTGGCATAATTTATTTTCAAGTCACTTTTCTGAATTAAATCCTACTTTAGCTCTAAAAACACTAGAAGTTTGCTTTATATAACACCTTGTGAAGGAGATTTTAAAACTGAACTCATTTTATTTTTAATAAGGTTTTAGGTTGTCAATATACTTGTTTCCCACCAATACTGATGGTACTGGCATGAGTTCTCTTCATTTCCCTAATAGATACACATCCCACAGAGAGTCTAGTGACATTGCATTTTCTTTGAGAATGTTTTCCTAAATCTATCAACTCAGCGTAGACAAAAGGAGAAGTGTCTTGTATTTGTAAGTACAATATAAAAAATTAATTTAAGCCAATTAAGCACTCCTATCAAAATTACATTCAAAGGGTTTTTCTTTGCCTAATTGTGAAGATCTCAAGTAGGTGAAATGGACTTGGCTTTATGTCCTATCTGGTCAACTGCTGTGGTTTCACAGACTTGTCTAGAGAAACAGAAGACTGTCAGATACAGTATCCCTTGGTCTTTTCTGTCATCAGAAATTACTTGAACCAAAATTTATAAAAACATGAGGTAGTAACATTTTATTTAAGGAACATTACATATTTTTATATGGAAAAAATCTTTTAAGGGGTTTTTGCTATGCAATTGCTAAATATGCCTGAACAAGTCAGGGCAAGATTAGTGAGTATTCATATGTGCTGTGGATTTAGGGATTTTTTTTTGGAAAACATTTCTTTATTATCTCTTTGTGGTAATAAGCTTTTTAAGACATTTTCTGAAGGTTGCTAACATGTCTCCCACAAAACCACAGCCCTACTAGGGCAAACCCCACAGCCTGCCAGAGATTTCACTATGGACCAGCGATGTCTTAACTTGATACCTGTTTCTGCTTACTTTATTTGGAACTTTTCCAAACCCAACCACCCTGTTTGGTCTCTAATTCAAGGGTGGCAAGTCTTCTCTGTAAAGGTCCTGATAGGAAATACTTTAGGATTTATGGGTTACATATGATCTCTGTTGCATCATATTCTTCATTTTCATCATCTTTTTCTTTAAAAAAAACTCTAAAAATTAAAAAAAATTCTTAGCTCATGGTCTATGCAAAAACAGGACAGGGGGCTTAATGGAAAAGGCTTCAAGTTACTATCATTGGCTACAGCATTACAACCTCAAGATGAAGGCAAATTATTTGGGGCACTTGCTTCATACAGTCCAGCCACAACTATCTGGCTATAGATTATCAAGTAAAAAATGTGAACTCTTCATGTTTCATCTCTTTTTTTGTTTATTTACATTTTTTGTGATTGCTATGTTCTTTTTTTTCCTGAAGGAAAAGAGATAGAAAGACTTAACAGGGAGAGAGGAAGGAGGGAGAAGCAGATAGGTGAGAGAGGAAGAAAAGGAAAGGAAAGACATAAAGGGCAATGAAAAAAAGGAAAGATTATGGTAAAAGAAAAAGAGATGAAGGTAGAAAAGAAGAAAACAAAAGGGAAAAGAAAGAGGTAGAGAGAAGAAAAGAAGGGAAAAGTGAAAAAATATAGAAAAATAGAGAGTGAGCCAGAATATGAATGCAAGAGCACAGTTTCTCCTTTTCCTTAAGCCAGGCAGCTTTTAGAGGCACCTCCCCAGCTGCTTTCAAATATTGAGGTTGCTGCCCAACCACTGATCACTATCCCAATAAGTGAAATGTGGGCTTCACATCTGAAAACTTCCACTTGGTTTTTCACCAAGTGAAATGGAACACAAAATTCAGGGCCCAAGCAAATGGCTAGTATTTTCTTTGGGACACTTGGGGCTGTGTCTACCCAGGGAAAATTTTGATGTATTCCAGTACATATGATTAATGTATATGTAGGGCAAACCAGGATAATTCAGAACTTTTTTTTTCTACAGCAGGTTTTTAGGTGGAATTATCTGGATGGTTGCCTCAACTCTCCACTAGGCTTTGCCAGGATAAGCACAGCTAGTGTAGTGTGCAGGAGACAGGGACCACTCCCTCTCTCCAAGGTTCCCTTCAACACCCACACCCTGTGTAGCTGAGTGTAGTGGGATCTGTCCTGAAAGGCATTCCTCCTGGGGCAAGTGTAATGAGTTCCTAAGAAGTCCCAAAAACTCTAATTGTTGCATTCTGTTTAGTTGTCAAATGATAAAATATAATAGATAGGCGAAGAGTGACAATTATACTATTAGGAAGAATATATTACATGTTCCCTTCCCCATCCCAAAAAGAAGCTAGAGAGCCAAAGCCCCACATATCTCAATCAAAGTAATTAGTGCATTTGTGTGTAACTTCTCTTATGACTACAGATACTTGAGTTGCATTTTTTTAAGTAGACAGAGACATGCATATATATAGCTTTTGTTTTAAAAATTATAGTTTAAAAGTACGTTTAGACAACATCCTAACATGTAGAAGTGCTGTTGATCCTAGTGGTGTATTTTATGTGACTCCTTAAAAGGTTTGTAGAGAACAATTTTTAAAAATTAAATTACAAGCTGTAATTAATAAGTGAAGTATACTAGTCAATGTAACCCCTTCATAAATTATTTTGTAGGGAACATTTCTATAAAGCTAACAGTTAACACAGAGAAACTGTACTCTCATGGACTCTTGCACTGATACCATGATTCTGGGTTTGGGATTTATTTTGGAGAAAAGGTGAAAAGAATAATGGGAAAGATGCATGATAGTTTATTTTACTATATCTTACAGATCCAACTTCTAATGATGAAGCTTCCCACATAACTTCTTTCTTTTTGGAAGCAGAAAGAAAGGAAGACCATGAAGAGTCAGAGCTGTTGATACATTGGGATAATATTTTCCCAATCTATTGAAACTTTCTACCTTCCCTTCCATTCTGTTTCACCAGTTCTCTAAGTGACAATTACAGAGTTACAAGACTTCCCCATTGCTACTTGTGTAGTGATTTTTATTTTGTATTGTTTTGTTCTTGCAGATTTCACTGCTGATTTTCCCCCTGACTACATAACCTCTAAAATAAAACACTCAAAATTCTTAAGAGATTCCATCCCAACTTAGAAACTGCCTTATCCCCTAAGATACAGTTGATGTAACTACTGCATGAGAAAGTCCTGAAATGTATTAAGTCAAAACAAATCAGCCATGAAAACAAACTGTTAAATGGGCTATTCTATGTGTACTTCTTTGAAAGTTATTTTTGTGTATCTGTAGGGTGTGTAGAAAGTTTGCTTATTTTCACTTTTGAACGTTTTCTTGCTGCCAACTGGTGGAAACAAAACCCTGGAAAAGGGAGATCATCTTTAAAATATGTATTTGTAAAATAAGTTTCTCTTTTCACATGGCTTCTACTGGCTGGTTGGTGACCCCACACTATGTGCTGAATGTGACTCCTTGAAAGCAGTCTATAACCTTGGGCAGATTTGTAGTGACAAATGTTGCTATGCTTCTGTAAGCACCGCTTCTGCTAGAGGGCACTGTATATTAGATAAGACCTTGTGCTGTGCTTAGTAAAGACAGCTTTCTGGTGCAGCACCTGTGTCCAAGTCTCCATTTGTTAACACTTGTGTACGTTTCCCTTTTTGGCAGATGAGACTTTGGGAAGCATGATTGCAAAAGGTTTATTCTATGGGATAAGCAAATCTAGAGGTAGTTGAGTGCTTTTCTGCAGGAGAAAAGCAGTAACATACCTCAGTTTCAGAATTACTTGACAAAGTAGGGCAAAAACTTCCTTCTTAGTAAATAGTCTCCTGCTCATCCTTCACCATTCATGCCACATTATCCCCCACCTCCAACTTCACCCTTCACTCTTCTTCAGAACAAAAAGCAGCTACATCAAATTAACCTCATGGGCACACACCACTCTGAGCTTGAAGGGCATAATTAAGAACGTAAGGTTGAAAATGACAGAAGATATTCTGAGAAATAAGGTGATTGATTCCAGAAGAGATTTTTCACCATCTCTGTAATGACAATTATCTCATGTGGTTATTATACATGGCCTCCCTATTTGCTTAGTAGGTGTAAACTAGGGACCATATATACAATTATCATTTGTGGATTAAAAATTAATAACATTAATAAAAAAGAAAGCATACAGGGAGGAAAAGCAAACCAAACCCTAAAGTGCAGCAGCCCTGCATTTATTAGAAGTCTCCAATTCTCTTTTCATTGACCCATTGATTGCTTGTTCACTTAGAGTTCTAGCCTGGAAACTTTCCTTGAATTAAGTGATAAAATAAATAAAAGTCACTGGAAAACACCTAAGTTCTGAAGAAACCAGAATTTGTATTGGCCAACAGAACACGTAAAGTAATGGTAAGGGGGAAGAAAATAAGAATTTAAACACCTGTTTTTAATTTTTTTTATTTTTGAGGAAATGGGCTTTCTGAATTTGCAAAGAAAATGTGATGGACTCTAGTAGAAGACTGGATCTTTGCTATACTAGAATATAAACCTGATGCTTTAAAGACTGGCAATGTCTTTGTTTTACTCTTTCTCTCTTTCTGTGATTTGTAGCATACATTGAAGATCTCACAAGATGTGTTGAGCAAAGCAGAAGACTTATTATCGTGCTCACTCCAGACTATATTCTCAGAAGGGGATGGAGTATTTTCGAACTGGAAAGCAGACTCCATAACATGCTAGTCAGTGGAGAAATCAAAGTGATTTTGATTGAATGTACAGAGTTAAAAGGAAAGGTGAATTGCCAGGAAGTGGAATCACTAAAGCGAAGCATCAAGCTTCTGTCCCTGATCAAGTGGAGGGGACCCAAAAGCAGCAAGTTAAATTCTAAGTTTTGGAAGCACTTAGTGTATGAAATGCCAAACAAGAAAAAAGAAACGCTATCTCAGTGCCATGTTCTGGACTCTGCAGAACAAGGACTTTTTGGAGAACTCCAGCCTATACCCTCAATTGCCATGACCAGTACCTCGGCCACTCTGGCATCATCTCAAGCCGATCTCCCTGATTTTCACCATTCAGATTCAATGCAAATGAGGCACTGTTGCAGAAGTTATAAACACGATATGCCAACCACAACCTTACCAATACCTTCCTTAGGCAACAACCACACTTACTGTAACTTGCCTCTGACACTACTCAATGGACAGCTACCCCTTAATAATACTCTGAAAGATACCGAGGAATTTCCTAGGAACAATTCCCTGCTACCTTTATCATCCAAAGAGCTTAGCTTCACCAGTGATATTTGGTAGTGAAAAAAACTGAATTCCTCTGATCAGCTATATGAGTCTACATAATTTTTGCTATACTAAGCATAAAGTACACCCAATAACATCGAGGTGCTGAAAATAATGAAGAAAAGGCATGAAATCACTTTTGTACTTAAATATTTTTGTTTACATTTCCAGAATAGAGGGGGGAGGGGAGGACTTACTTTTGTAGTGTGTTGCCTTGTTCCAATGTACAGTTTTTATTTACTCCTGAAAAGAATTTTTTTAATTTTGTTGTTTTAGTGTAGGTTTTATGATATCATACAGACTGCAACCTTATTGGGTGAGTTATCTTCCCCATATTTATGAATATTCCAGCATTTACATTGTATGTAAAATAAGGAAGACTTTAATTGAATTCAAAAATTCAGAACTAAGTTTAAGGGGAAAACAGAACTTTCATATAAGAGTGCCTGAAAAATCAGGAATTATAATGGAAAAAATGTTGAGGCACTCCAGTTGGAAGATTGTTTATAGAGGAAAATCAGTTGAGAAAAAAAATGTGATTGAAATGTTTAGAACTTCTTCGATGGACAACTTCTATAGACTAAACCAACAGCTCATAATTACAACTCTTAGTTTTATTAGGCAAGCACATCTTCTGTAGGCAAACTGGTAGTTAGGTAACAATGTTCATTTCTTAAGCAAATGAATAGACAGACTACGAGTTCTTTTAGGATGATTTTCAATATGCCTTATGGCAATTCTGGCTTATTTCAAAATTTTTATGACTTTGAAAACAAAGGGCACATTTTATTGTTTTCTAACAAGTTCACATATGGACATTTTTCCCAATCTCTTGACTTGCTCTAAGCCTTATATGAAGATGTGGGCATTTTGCTGCTTGTTTTTCAGCATCATTGGAGTTTGAATTTAAATATACATGGACTGCAAGTATCAGCAATTGGAAAGAAGTATTACACCAACATTCACAGATGAAGTGCTAAATGATTTGAGTTTACTAGTGGTAGAGCAGCAATTAAAGAAATGCTCATCTGCGATGTAGTTGCGAAATAGACTATTCTGTACATACACATATCTGCTTGGCTGTGTGTGCAAGGCTCCTACAGAAATATCTCTATTTCCGGTGCTTCAAAGAGTACAATTAATACACTACACTTGTCCACCCTCATATAGTGACTGTGACTGTATCACACCAGAAAATCTCTGTGAATAATCTAAGATATCTCCTACTTGCTGTAAGGAATGTGCCCCTACTCTAGTATTTACTGTGGATTACTACTTTATATGATTTCCAATTAATCAAATTTGGTGTGCTCTCCACTTAGATGCCTGTGGGGGGTCAATATCTTGTCAAGGTTGATTTAGACATTTTGCAAATGTTTCCTAAATCAAGTTCTTGAACAAATATAAACAAGGAAAAATATACACAGTGTGTAAAAATAAGAATTTGCCCAACCCTTGTAATTATGAAACTCAAATGTATAAATGAACATTAGATAACATGCTTTGATTATTTCTCTCAACTTCTTTCCATTATTAATGCCCTGTGATCCATGAGTTTTGGTAAAAGTACTTGTTTCTCTGTTGCTTTACTATATCCAGCTGTTCAGAAAATGTATTATGTACCAACAATGTGTGAATGCTTAGCAATGATACATGTTCATTTCACAGTGGGACAATTAGTTACTCCTTTGAAAGGTCCTCTTCAACATGTGTAGGTATTTCATAGATGTATTTTTTCCACTTAGAAAGGAGATTTTGCTTCTGTAAAAATATAGGTATTTCAAAATGAAAATTTATGAATTCTGAACTGCTTTCCAAGTGTTATAAAGTTGTATTTACTCTAGTTGTTCTTTAATGCTATGTGTAACTACTAAGTTAATAACCTGCATGAAATGAGTAGTATATGTTTAAGTGGCCAATTGTACTTTTTACAACATTATTTTCCACAAAAATCAAGATTAATTCAAATAGAATGTTCAGTCATATTTTTAAACTAATAGTTCTGTATTGAGCATGCCAGTTCTGAAAATATAACATTGGTCTCTCTGCTTCCTTTATTTACAATGATTAAACGTGGGTAGCAATTTGAGTTGGCTGGCCACAATGTGTCCTTTCACTACTAGTAGGTACTCAAAAACAGAGCATTCACACTTGTGCTGGGGAACTTGACAAGAAACCTTTTCTACCATTTTCAGGAACTAATGTGTACACTATCTATAAAAATTTATTTCTAGATGGCAATTCAAAATTTAATTTTCATCTGAGATTTTTAAAAGATAGAGCCCATACAGTATAATAACTATTCAGTCTAGAACATAATGTGTACTTCTAATTTCTTTCACACTGGGAATTTTTTTCTTTTCAACTTTTCACTGAAATGGATTTTAGAATCTAGGAAAACACTGTTACAACTAGTTCTCAAACATAAGTAACAAATTCAATGTCATATAATTATATGTAAGCATACATTTAAAAGCTGACTTTTGAAGGTGAAACATTCTGAAAATATCAGAAATTATGATGCAAGTAAGAAATGCACAAAAGTACTAGATGCATAGGAAATGAAAATTGCATTGGGAACAAACAATGGTCAGGGAGGTGGACATGTTTATTGGTTTAATTTAGTAAAATATGAGATCTGGTAGGCTTGATAATGTATGATCCCTAATCTAACCATAGCGACTCTGAAATGTAGCTGGACATTTCCTGAAAAGAAGATCCCACTCCTTGCTACCTGTAAGCCAAATTTGTTCTGCTTTCAAATACTCAATCAAAACTATGAGTACAGAGATACTTCCAGGCTTCTAATAAGGCTTGAGCCCAATGTAGCATGATGTGAAAGGTAGATATTTTGATTAAGGATGGATGGTTAACTTTGTGAGGCTGCAAGGAGGGAGTAGGGTGCAATGAGAGGTGGAAACAGAGTTCAGTTATGAAAGAGAAGTTTACAGAGGAATTTGAAAGGAGGTGGAAGTGAGTAATATCCTAAGGATTACTTCTGCAACATGTTGGAAAATGGCAAGTGTGAGAAAGAAGAAAATTTTGGCAAGAAAAAGGAGACTCCTTGACCCATGTGGTATTTGTAAGGCTTGCTAAAGTATGGAACCACTGGTTTAAAGCCTTTGCATGTCTTTTGGCATTTTTTAAAAATAAAGTAGTTTTTACCAAGTGTTTTTCTAGAAAGTTATTGACCAAGAGAAACACACTGAAAATTCCACATATAAATCCTTGTACTCCTTGTATTCCTTTTCCAAAGTGAGGTAGTGAACTGATAAAATCAGACTAAAGTTAAGACAGAAAATAGTTCCATAGTGATCAGTTAAGTTTGAACACTTGTAATTGTTGTTGCTCTTTTATGAGAGAATTTAATGTTGGAAATTGTCTGGCTCCAGTTTCTATATTACTCATGCATTTTTGTTCTAAAATGTCTTATGAGAGGTCACAGTTTTAAATATTAAGGCTCTCTGATGAATGTATGGGGTTCACTTCAAACTCTTTCATATCAAACTGGCCTGTTTTAGAACTGAAATCAGCCACAAACAATTTAAGAAATTTATTCACTCTAATTACTGTGTAATCTGAATTGTAAAATTACCTACACCCATCTAAACTTATTCTGCCAAATGCTCACTGCTGTTGTCTCAATCACATTTTCTCCAGATGGTCCTAAAGTTAATCATGAGTATTTAATGCCTAATATGTATTGACCAGTACATAAAACATAATAGAAAAACTTTATTTTAATACTTGTTCTTAAATAGTTTATATATCACATACATGAAGAAAGGGGCATTTGTAAACCACAATCCAATTCAGGGAAGATAATAATAATGTACACAGTAGTAAGAGAGGTGGGGCAATTTCATGATGACTTGGGCAAGAGATGAGTTTGGAATAGAGAAAACAGAGCTGAGAAATGAATGGGAATTTCCTAAGTTCAGGGACTAGCACATGAAGACTGAAGGAAGAGTAAGCACATTTTATTTAGCTGACAGCAAGCACATTTGGCTGGCAAAATCAGAAATGTGTGTGAGGATATAATAACAAATAAGACTGAGGAAAGTGTTGGAGCATTCATCTGAGAACAGATGCAGGAAGAATTAGGTAAGGGGAGAGAATGGAGGAAGGGAGACCATCTAAGAGTTTGTTGTCATAATCCAGGTGTGAGATGATGATAGATGGAACTAAGGGATGACCTGGATCCTGTCAGAAAAAGGCAGACCTGAGGAGGAAGAGCCTGATACAATAATGCACAAAGTGCAAAATGGAAAAAAAGTTTAATAAAGGCTTCAAGTATCAAAATATTCAGTTGGAGTGAAGCAATTATTCTTAGGTGTTTAACCTTCATTTTAAATGGAGTGTTCTGACACTGTCAGACCAAGAAGAGAGGTTCATTTGCTACTGCAGCATTGATGAAAGGTTAGAGGGAGAGAAATGGTCAGGAAAGGCAAAGTACTTCTGCAAATATAGCTTAGAAACAAGCATATTCACTGCATGACTGTAATCCCAAGTTCACAAAGAAGGAAATGATGAAGTTTGGTTCTTTAGGTGACATCTTTTGATTTTATTTTAATTTCTTGCCTCACTTTGGGATAAAGAAGTTATGATCTTGAAATGAAGCCACTGAAGTGATTGAATAGGGGGAAAACAAATTCCAGGAGGTAGATATTGTGTTGTTCCAAAATAAGGAAACTGAACAAGGTTCCCAAAGAACAACAGGGGATATGTTGAAGTGTGTTTGAAATGGTGGGAGGAAGTTCAGAGTACAGGCCTGAGAAGAACAAGGAAAAGAATTGGCAACTTGGTAAGGCTGGAATGCAATTTTCACCAAAATTGAAAGTGAAGTGATAAGTGGATTACCATCTTTCTGATTATGAAGGACATTGCACAAGTTTATTAGTCAGGATAGATAAATATTGTAATGCCAACTCCAAAAGTCTTTGCATCTTAACGCAATAAAAATATTACTATCTCACGCCACAGTCTAATGAGGATTGGAAAGGATTATGGGGAAAGTCATTCAGAGACAGTACTCTCTCCATTTGTCTAGTAAATGGAGAGAGAAAGAGAAAAACACACATACACACACACAGAGAGAGAGAGAGAGAGAGAGAGAGAGAGAGAGAATAGAGGTTCAAGCTGTCCCATAAAAAGCACTCACATTCTAAAAGATAGGGTGGGAATGTAGTCTAGCTTTTTGCTCAGAAGAAAAATATAATGAGACTTAAAGTGTATAGTCTCTATTACTAAGATGCAAGCTATTGTTTTTCCATAATATCCTATGATAAAACAAAAATAGATGCAGGGAAGT